GAACATCCTTTAACAGCCAAGGGTATCATTTCTTCTTCCCTTCCCTTCCTTTCCTTCCCTCTCTAGCTCTGCCTCTGGATCTACCTCGCTTTCACTTTACGATTCTATCTCCCATGTCCCATTACATGCTACATTACATGCTGATATCATTGGTTAGCCTGGGCTTTTTTAACATGACTGGGATGCTGGGGCGAGTGAGTGAGTGAGTGAGTGAGTGAGTGAGTGAGTGAGTGAGATTGCACGTCTTTAGTGTTTAAATCCAGCATGGACAGGACAAGGTGGATAGTCCAGGCATGCAACAGGGGGGCAATGCAGGACAGAGGATGACAAAGCCAAACGGCAAAGCCCCAAAGCAAACCGGCTACACTCTGTCATTCCGAAACCAGCTACACTCTGTCATTCCGAAACCAGCTACGCTGTCATTCCCAACTCTGTCGCCGCCCGAGTGAAAAACCAGGGTAAACAAGGTATACATCCGACCTGGCCTGGCCCTCCACCCTCGCATACCCATCCCCTTACTCTCCCCCGAACAAATCCCTCTCCACCATGGCCCGACAAATCGGATGATAAAACCCCTTGTTCCGCTCAAATGTCTCGGCCGCCAGTCCGCGATCCACCCGCGCCAACAAGCGATACAACGGGCGCACAAACTTCATGCGACCGGTGCGACCTAGCATCTCGGCCGCGGGGCCATAGGTGGCTGGGGCGCGTGCCATGAGGCCGAGGGTGAGGTAGCGGGAGAGGATTTCGAGGTTTTGGGAGTTGGCGTAGTTGTAGGTTGAGCCGAGGAGGGAGATGTCGGTGGGGGAGAGGGCGGGGGCAAAGGATTGGAGACGTTCTAGGAAGACGAGGGATTGGGTTGAGATCCAGGTTTGGATGTCAGAGGGGGAGGGGTAGAAGGGAGGGTGATCGTTGTTGTTGTCGTTGTGGTGGGTGCGAGATTTCCATTTGTCGGCGAGGGCGTAGCAGGCTTTGACCATGGTTTCGTCAAAGTCTGGTTTAGGTGGGAAGCCGGGGGCGTAGAAGAGGGTGTCCCAGTCAAAGGCTTCGAGTTTCTGGCGGGCGGCTGGGTCGGTGGCGAAGAAGTCGACGAGGCAGGATTTGAAGTCATAACTGTCCACGCTCTTGAACTTGAACGTGTCAAAGTAGTGTGGGATAAACGTGTCCCACTTGTCCTTTCCGAGCAACAACTCAAACGCATACAGAGCGTGGAAGCCCTTTTCGTACGGAATCGACGAGAAGGCGTCGTCGGGGTCCTTGCCCTTGAGATTGGTCACCAGTTTCGTGTACTCGTGGTCCTCGCCAAACTGCTTGATGCTCTCTTCCAGCGCCTTCCAGCCGATGATTGCGCTAAAGTGTCGATGTGCTTCTCCGTGAAGATAGCCAGCAATACGACGCTCGAGATAGGTAGTCCATCCCTCGTTGAGCCAAAAGTGCTCCCAGCTTGCCGCACTGATGAGATTGCCACTCCATGAGTGGGAGAGTTCGTGTGCGATGACGTCGATGTTTTGCTTGTCGCCAGAGATGATGCTGGGAGTTGCATAGGTGAAGACGGGGTTCTCCATGCCACCATAAGGGAACGAGGGAGGCAGGATGAGCACGTTGTATTGCGTCCATTGGTAAGCAGGAGAGACGAGAGATTCAAGCGCTTTCATAAACGGCTCAATCTCGCCGTCGAGTTCGTCTTTGCATACCAAAAGTTCCTCGGGGCCGGACCAGACCGTGCTGCGTGGGCCAATGGAAGCACATGCCAAATCACCACTGGCCACTGCGAAGAGGTAGGATGTGATTGGAACTTTCTGCTCAAATGTGTATTTCAGGGTCCCCTGTTCACCCTCTTTCTTGGGCGCCTGGTAATCATGCGCACCTGTCGGGAGACCAGAGGCCAGAACCGGTAGAGGGGACCGAAGAGCAAAGCTAAAGGTAGACTTGACGTCTGGTGTGTCTTGGCAGGGAAAGACGGAGCGAGCGTGAATGGCCTGGCATTGCGAAAACATGTAAGGATGTTTCTTGTTCGACGTCTGAGCAGGTGTCATCCACTGCAGCGCCGTACATTTATCTGTCGTTGCAACCTTAATCTCAATGTCGACTGTCTTGCCTTTTGGCACAGCCGAAGGGAGCGTGATGGTCAATGGACTTCCATACGGCTCTACACGATCACCAACATGGAACTTGGCGCTCTTCCCATCGATTTCCACAACCGAGATGTCGAGAAAGCTACCCAGTATTAGTGAAAGAATGAGTCCTCACCTGGAATTCATACCTACCTACTATCCAACACAATCTCCCTAGTCTCCTCGCCCGCCAAGCTCTCAAGCGTCAACACCACACTACCAAACAGCCTTTTCTTGCTAAAATCAATGTCGAAATCGACACTTGTATGTCTCGTTACGAAATTATGATAATTAGACAGCGTATTCGGGTCCCTTGGCGTCTTGATCTCCATATGCGGGTCAACCATCGGTTTCGTCACCATCGCTGCGGGGGAGCGATGCATCGTTGTGGCAAGTGTCCTTTTGGGAATTGCTATACCTCTGATCGTATTGAGGAAGCTCAACGACTTAGACTTTGTCCGAGATGGCAGAATTGTATAATGACTCCTGTCAAGGACAGACGTTGTGCAGTAGGCAAGGCCAGGTGGTGACCGAGTGAAAGTGGAGGGTCGGAGTTCAGGATTCAATTGTGCCGATCGAAACCGCGTCCGAGTCTGCAGAAGGGAAATCGAGCTTCTGGACGCATACCCCGCTGAATTACGGGAGCAGACCAATGCCTGCATGCTTAGGTTTCCTTCCAAGGCAACTGTGCGATCCTTGGGATGTTGAATGTGTACAATTAAAGGCGGAGCTGGTGGCTTTGGAATCGTGTCAATCAGCCACATAGTGGTAACATTCAACGCACGGACGCTCGAGTGGGTAGCCGCAGCGAAACTACCGCCGGTAATCCATGTGTTTGAAGCAAACACATACGCACATGTTGAACGTCGTAATTCATATGACAGCAAAATACAGTTGACAGAGTTATCTCTCCAAAGTCTCGACGCAAGCTAAATGCCATCCAGACCCGGCCCGCTGTAATGCCAAAATTGCCAGTGCTATGCATCACATTGACGCAGCCTTACAACGCCGAACCAAAATCACAAAAGCCTCAGTTTTGGCATCTATACTCTTGGATCAAGTGGCCATACTCAATCCTTCTTTGCACTACCATCCCCTTTTTTGCCTCTCTCCCTCAACGTGAGATTAAACTCAGGCCGCGCAGATTGATACTGCTCGACTCTTGCCGAACTCGCCCTCTCATCCATACCAGCTAACACATGATCCTCCCTACTCCTGCCTCTATCCTCCTCTCCATCCCCGATTTCAAAGGCGTCGTCTCGCAACTCGATCAAATCGCCCAAATCGCCTCCTACGGCGCCCAAAACGGGTACCGCGGATCTTTTACCTTGGCCGGGTGTCCCGGGTTCTTGTAGCAATTTCTGCGCTGATGTGCCTACTTTGCGTACCCAGCCTTCGATTGCCCCACCGATCTCTTGAAAGTTGATTTCGGCTCCGTTGAGTGGTGTCACCGCGCCCGAACCGCCTGCACTTTGAGAGGATGTTCCTGCTGTGGCGTCGAGGAGACTGGGTGCCCAAGGTGTAAAGTACTCTTGCCCAGGCGGAGGCGCCACATTAGGCAGATATTGTGCGAATTTCTTATTCAGGCCGTCTTGAGCAGGTCCAGGACAGCGTACGTTACGGCCCATAGTGCCCACACCGCCTGGGCCATGTAAGCCCCATGCTTTGCCTGATGTGCTCCGTTGGCGGCTGTTGGTGGATACAGAAGACAGATTACTAGAGGCACGAGATCGGGCCATTTGCAAGGGAGAGACTGTAAGAGGATTGGTGGAGGTGGAGGATCGGGGAAGATCCACCGAGGCGCGAGGCGTGGAAGCATCAGAGTAAGTGACAGACTTCCGCCGTGCAGGCGGAAAGAAGCCCAGTGCTCTGCGTGGCATGCGACCGATCTCTGTAGGTTGTTTGTCGTTGGGTAGTAGAACCCATGAATCATGCTTCCATGGTGGCTCTGCATCTGTGTTGGAGGACACGGTAGAAGCAGATTCCACGTCCTTTTGTTTGGGTGTCTTCCACCCATTGGGTAGTCCAGCGGTGCTCTTCGTAGTAGCTGATTTGCTGCTAGAACTACTGCCGTACTCTCCCATCAAGAGGTCCTCCTCTGGTAGGGCCTCTGGTCCTGGGACAGGTCGCCCTTTGATTCCACATGCATCTACGGGGAGGACTATCGTCTGCTTTGTCTGCACGCTATCGTTGGGCCACATGCGGTTCGACTTTCTCAGAACAGCTTGGTCGCAGTTGTACTTTATGCTCAGCCCAGCGAGGGTATCTTGCGGCCGAACGTGATGGATGTATACAAGCGCGTCTCGATCATCATTCTCACCGGGCGGTGCGGAAGCACTCATTCGATCGTCCGAATTCCTGCGCTTGATGCGCCCAACCGAGTCGGGCACCAAATGCTCATTCGCAGTCAGGAGGTCTCTCCGCTTCATAGCTCTAACCTGTGCCTCCCTCTCCTCATGGGTGCCGGCCCCAACAAGCGAGCCTGCGCCTGCGGGACCCCATTGCTTTGGCGGTGGAGCACTGGTAGATGTGCGTCGTCCTTGCGTCGGTTTGCGTCGTCGTGCGCTGCTGCTGCTGGAGTCTCTGGGGTCGGCCAGAACGGTCGCGGCAATGTCCTGTAAGGCCGACCAAGAGTTCCCCAACAGCCCAGACAAGCCTGGCGAGTTGGGACTCTTTGGGTTCGAAGACCGCTCAAATAGGGCCAGTGGATTTGCAGCCACACTGAGGCGCGAAGATGTTGTGGCTCCCGTGCGAGAGTTTGCAGCCGGAGACGGTGACGGAGATGGTGACGGGGACGCATGTCTCGAGGCTGCTGTACGGGAGGGACCTCCGCTCAGGCCGCCATCAGTCGCATGTGAGGTGTATATATCATCCTCTACCGAAATCAGTCTCTTGGTACGTGGCCGTAGCGTCGAGTTGCTCTTTGACGTGGACAACGAAGTGCCATTGGAGGGGTTCATGGCCTGCGGACGCCGGGCGGAGTGGGTGACGGTGGAGCTGCATAGGCCAGATGATTTGAGTGGTCGGGAAGACGCATGGCATGGGATCACTGCATCCTACTGTGTTGTCGTGGCGGGCAGCCGACAGCGAAACGGCGGATGAGTTGGGGAGAGAACGAGCAACGTGTTGCGGTGAAAGGGTGAGTTGTGAGATTGGCTTTGGGCGGAGGAAGCTACGTAACGTTAACCCGCAACTGCAAACGCCTTTCGGTTGAGTACAAAAGCCCGTGCGCGGCCTATGATGGACCATTCACCATTGTACCCTCACCCGTGCCTCTACCTACCTCCAGACCGCGCAGACGCAACGTAACGCCACAGGTCCAACGTTGGGGGAGCCTCGACATGATGATCTTTGTGTGTCTGCCTTTCTGACGGTGTGGCAAGTACCTTTCAATCACCGTGTACATCTACATTCTACACTCCTGTGCGTCAGCCTGGCATCGATGAACGGCCTTGTTGTCTGTGCACCTGCGACAAGGACCTCTTCGGCGCATTGCAATGAACCGAACACGACGCCCATCGCAGTCTTTGCACGTTGTGTCTTTGAATGACTCGCACTTTGTTCATGTAGTCGAGAAGAGTGCAGCATCAATATCGCCGAAGCAGCCCATGTGCATCAAGGAACAATCGAGTCAAATACCGATTTGTGTGCAGAGGAAGCATGGGATGCAACGTTTCGTTCAAGCCATTCCCTATGAACTGCGTTTGATATTTTCGTCTACACCGCTAAACAGCTATAATCAAGTGTCTGGGCTGGCTGCATCACCGCACTCAATTAGCGGAATGGACTCGAGCTCGTAGTCACGTCCACCGTCTCAAAATCCAGCTCAAACGCATCTACTTCCTCAAACTTCTTCTTAATAGCGGCTAATTTTTCAGAATGCTCAATCGCCGATATCTCTGTATGCTCTGGATCCTCCTGGTCTGCAGTCTCATTCTCCTTGTCTGATAATCGCCTGCGACTGTAGGTTCGACTGAGCCTGGGGGCTGCCTTGGCTGGGGCCGTCTTCTTGCCTCGAGAGCCCTTCTTGCTGGCCTTGGGTGATGCTAACTTCCCAGCACCTGGACGTTGGTGCGCTCGTCGTGTTGGCATCTGCAGCTCATCTTGGTCCGAGTCGAGCTGCGTTACTTCCTCCGAGCTCTCTAGGTCAAACTCGTCGCGATCCCGATGGCGATTCCTCCGCCGTGGTAGCAATCCTTTCAGCTGTGCGGTAGATATAGTTTGTTGCGCCTTCTTCTTGGTACCGCGTTTCGCTTTCGCAGGTGTTTCCGTGTCTTCACCGTCCGAATCCGACTCATCTCTGACGGGTGTTTTTGCCCGTTTTCCTCTTCTTGGCCGACGCGAAGGTGCGGGTAACTCTTGCCGGGCGGATTTCTCCGGGACAGGACTACTGCTGGACATGGGTGGTGCGTACGTCTGACTCAAAATCTCTTCGTCATCTTGTGTCTGTGCAATTACATCTTCCCGTGATGAGAGCACTTCTGGTAAGCTGGGTGATGGTGATCGTACAGACTCGATATCGCTATCAGTGTCTCGGGCAGGGCTACCAGGTGGTGAGGAGCGTGGCACCTGCACAACTGGCGACAACTTGCGCTTAGTCCCTCGTGAGCCAGGACTGGAGATCTGGGTGCCGCTGTCGTTTCTAACTTCTTCGCTTGGCCCGGTCTTCCGTACGTTGAGTGGCGTTGATTCTGCATGGGGCAAGAAGTCATCCAAGTCGAAATTGTCTGTGTCGTCAAGATCACTCTGGTCATTATCCTCGACATCGGTGGTCTGCTGGACCATTCGCAATAAACTCGGCTGCCGTGCTCTTCGCTTGAAGTTGGTCAAAGCCAGTATTGACCTCTCATGCGCCGGTGTGGCACCGACTTTGATTGCAGACGGCGGGCGTGTACCATGAGCAGGCGATTCCGAGCCCAGAGAAGAGAAGGTCAAATCACCAAAGCCGGAGCTCTCGTGTATTGATGCATCGCCGGTAGGCGCGTCCTCGTTGGCTGCAGGTGACGGTACAGGGGCTCCTGCGGGTGACGATGTGTTGCCGGCTGATAACCTAGCACTACCTCTTGACATTCGAGCTTTTTTTGATGTTGCTGATTCAGGTGTGCCATTCTTGTTCAAGGATACCGGTGCACTCTCTTCTGCAGGCAGCGCGCCGGTCATAGTAAATTGCTCTTCCTCGATCTGCTTGTTGGCGTGGTCCCTTGCCGTTCGCCTGCTTGAGCGCGTCACACCAGTCTTGCTAACAAGACCGTCGCTGTCCTCACTGAAGCTCTTGCTGGTTGCGACGACATCCTGGGCGCGTGTGGTATGCGTGGTCGTGGCCTTCGGTGCGGGCTTGCGCGGGGCTGTCTTGGGCTTTGCGACGCGCGACGCGACTTTTGCGCGTGGTGGGCGAGGCATCTTCGTAATGAAGTCTGATTATGTGATAGAGTGTAAGATTTATCGCGCGCGATGGGATGATTGTGTCTACGATCAGAGCGCTGTCTGGGTGGCGATGGGTTGTGGCATTGGTGATGGCGCGCGTCGCGAACAATTGGTGTTGACGTAAGTAGGCATTCATCAACTAGCGTCGATCTCGAACACACTAGAGAGGCGCCCACGTGCACACAGGGTCACAGTGGTAGTGAATGGCTTGCGACAAGGTCCTTTTTGAACCAGGGGAAGAGGACGACTCTACATCGTAGAATGTCTCGACTTAGTGCTCCATCTGCTGGTCTGGTGTGAGTCACGAGCTAGAAGTTTCAAAGTGTTCAATGTTGTGGCGCTGGTGCCTTTGCTCCTCCAGGCAACTGCGATAGACTTAAAGCCGCAATGCCGCGCCTCCTCCTGTCGATATCCCGTCATTGACTCCGTCTCCAGCACTACAGCATGAGTGAAGCAAGCCCAGTTCTGCAATTCGGCCCCGATTTACAAGAGTACGCGATTTCTGACCGGGAGTTTCTTCGCCAGCATCCTGAATATGACATCCTTTGTACTGGTGTAGTCGTCTTCAATCGCGATAGGAAGCTCTTGCTAGTGCAGCGTGCCAAAGACGAAAAGGCATTTCCCAATGCATGGGTACGTACGCGATTAAGAGTATTACCACGACGTGCTTGTGCCAGCTCTTTATTGAACGACTTTGATTAATGACAAATAACGAGCAGGAAATTCCAGGAGGCAAGGTAGATGATACCGACGAAACCATCCTACACGCCGCCGCTCGTGAACTGAAAGAGGAGACCGGCCTTGTTGCGACCCGGGTCCTTCGAAAGGTCACACAATTCACTTTCGACGACAGGCGGCCAGGACGTGCAAACAAGACGTGGCTGAAGTTCATCTTCGAGATGGAGGTTGAGGACGCCAGCCATGTCAGTCTGGATCCCGTTGAGCATCAAGACTTTCTATTTGCCACAGAAGAGGAGGTGGCTGCGGAACAAAGCGGAGAGGTGAAGCTCGCATATGTGAGCGAGCCCAACAAGATGGTGAAACTGGAGGCTTTCAGACTCCGAAAGATGGTGAGATGACAGGGGCTGGAAGGAATGCAGAGGCGAACAGGAGGGGGTGCGAGACGATGGCCATGGGAACATGGCAGGGGTGTGAGCGATCTCAATATCAAAGATGACGATCCACGACCAGACGGAGACGAACGATCGTGCATGGGTGGTGTCTCTACTATCTCTCCATCATGTGTCAGTGAAATACCTAGCGAATAGCCAAGTATGAGATGTTCCTTTACAGGTGCAAATTGATGATCTGAAACAGAACGAGGAAGGCTGGGTGAGACTCGAGAGCCATCCAACCAATAAGTTAGTAAGCAACCTGTTTGATGGTGACTGCACAACAGAGTAGCTAGGTAGACATGTCTGTGCTTGGACAAGTGAGGCTGTGAGGCTGTGAGGCTGTGAGGCTGTGAGGCTGTGAGGCTGTGAGGCTGTGAGGCTGTGAGGCTGTGAGGCTGTGAGGCTGTGATGTCAATGGTGGAATGGTGGTGGGTGCTGTCTTTGGTGCGCCTGGGGTGCCTCCGCCGGCCAGGCCCGCTAGCGGGGGCGTGGGTGGGCTCCGACGGCTTTGGTGTGCAACCAGGCAAGGACGCTTGAGAGACTGAGTGCAGCCAAGTCTAAACTCCACAAACCCTCGACAGCCACCGGAGACCCTTCAACCAAAAGGCTTTTACGACAGCATGTCTGGCGAACACTCCTTCATGGCCAACCCAGCGCCCTCTGCACCGCCACCGCTGGCTGCGCAGCCCAGTAATGGGACGCCGTAGGTGCTCCATTGCCCATTGCCCATTGCCCATTGCCCATTGCCCGTTGCCCGTTGCCTGTTGGCCGTTGTTGCGCGCTGCCAAAGCACACGAGACCTGGCTCACACAATGCAGACCCTCGGCGAGCTCACAGAACGTGCCTCCCGGACACCCTTCTTTTAGGCGGCAGCGCGCCAGTAGAGCATGCGAAAGTGAGTTTGTCATGCTAGTCTTTCCTTTGCACCTCCCCCTACTTCGCGTTGTTGCGACAGCAGGTAGTCGACGCCTGTTCGTTCTTATATCCGTCCAACGCCTTGTGAGCCTCGGCACCTCGGTCTGGTCAACGAATACATACTAACCACCGCCAAACGCGTCCAGCCTGTCATGCGAGAAAGGTCAGTAATCAGCCCACCAGCCTCATCACTCACCGCGGCCGGCGCATAACAAGTGCTACAGGTCCGATGCGACGCCGCCTCGCTCGGCATCCCCTGCACCAACTGCACCGCCTTCTCCATCGAGTGCCGCATCCCCCAGCCCAAGCGCAAGAAGACACAGGGGCCAAGACCAAAGATCGAGGGAAGGTACGATGACTAAGAAGAAAAAACCCCTTCATCTTGACGGTGAGATGCGCACGCTTGGAGACTAATACGCCTCACAGTGAGCGAGCAGAAAGCGAAGAGCGCTCTCCGGCAAGCGCCTCGGTGGAACCACGAGACAAGCCGGCCCTATACAGCTCGGAAGATGGTACGCCCTCTACGACTCTGTCGAGCGCCTATGCGGCTCAGCAGGCGACCCACAATGGCACCTATGTGCAGTTCATGAAGCCCAAGTTCGCCAGAGCACCCATCAAAGAAGCCGGCAGGGTCGCCTACTTGGGCGAATCCTCCAATCTCTCCCTCCTCGTACACGACCATGGCACCACCGACGTCGTCCACTATCCGCTGCCCGAGAACGTGCGAGGGGCCAAAGCGCGCGTCAATGAGATGGACAATATGGAAATCGAGATATTGCACCAGCGAGGCGCCTTCCTGCTCCCCCCACGAGCCCTCTGCGATGAGCTGGTCGAGGCCTTCTTCAAGTGGGTGGCTCCAGTCGTACCCGTCATCAACCGCAGCCGCTTCATGCGTCAATATCGAGACCCCAAAAACCCTCCCTCACTCCTTCTTCTGCAGGCTGTCCTCTTGGCTGGATCGAGAGTTTGCACAAATGCCCAATTGATGGACTCCAGTGGCTCGACAACGCCTGCTGCCATGACCTTTTACAAGCGCGCCAAGGCTCTCTTTGACGCCAATTTTGAGGACGATCGTGTGACGATTGTACAGGCACTCATCTTGATGGGATGGTACTGGGAGGGTCCAGAGGGTGGGTTACCGAAGAGATTCGTAGGGAGAATTGGCAGCTGACGTACTGTAGATGTGACCAAAAACGTCTTCTACTGGACGAGAGTCGCTATTGTCGTTGCGCAAGGTTCGGGCATGCACCGCAGGTAGGCAGGGATCATTTGCAGAGGAAGCACTCTTGCTGACTATTGCAGTGTTGAGGGTTCACAGCTCAGTCGGTCAGACAAACGCCTTTGGAAGCGCATTTGGTGGACCTTGTACAGCCGTGATCGGTCGGTAGCCGTTGCGCTTGGTAGGCCTGTCGCGATTGACCCCGAGGACTCCGATGTCGAAATGGTCTCTGAAGATGACTTTATCGATGACGAAGTCGACCATGGTGCAGAGTATCCGCCGGATCCCGTTCATGTCCAGTTCTTCATCAATTACGTCAAGCTGAGCGAGATCATGGGCTTGGTCTTGTCACAGCAATACTCGGTCGCATCAAAACATCGTAGAGCCAACGCTATTGACCTCACACACAGTGACATGGCTCTCGCAGATTGGTTGCAGCATTGCCCTCCAGAAGTTCAGTGGGACCGACAACACCATCACTTCTGGGCTGCTCTGTTGCATGCTAATTACTAGTAAGTTCTTTTTCGCTCCTCTTTTTTTCCAGCTTGTGCTGACACGAGAAGCACAACGCTTTGTCTTCTACATCGGGCACATATGCCACCAGCTGGATCACCAAAAGGCAACAATCTTGATGGGTTTGGCGAAGAACATGCATATCCCAGCAGAAACATTGCTTATCAAGCTGCCGCCATGATCACGTCCATCATCGAGAACCTGCGAGCTCACAACGAGATACGGTATACTCCTGCGTTTATTGTTTACAGCTTGTTCTCGGCGCTCATCATGCACGTCTACCAAATGAAGTCGTCAAACAAGTCGATCGTCTCAGCAACAGAACAGCGAATTCAGATTTGCCTGGACGCGCTAAAAGAGGTCTCCAAAGTATGGCTAGTCGCGAAGATGGTACACACACTGTTTGAGTCCATATTGGGCAATAAGCATCTCGAAGAGCGCTTGCAAAAGGCTGCCGGTCGGAACCATAAGAAGAACAAGGTGCCGAGCGCTCCGCCACCACCACCTAAGCCAGCACAAGAGGCGCCTAAGCGCAAGTTTGACGACATGGATCTTGGCTTCCCTGCTACAAATGGCCCACCCGCTCCTCAGGTTTCCTATGAGCGATCCAGGCCTCAGACCCCGGCGGTGACTCCGTCTCGAGAGATGCCTCCCCAGCAGATGCCTCAGATGACGACAGGCTCACCGCAGATGAGTCGTCAAAACCATGACGCATTCATGGGACCTTCGCGATCTGGAACTCGTCCAACAACCCCTTTTAATCCATCGTATTCTTACCCAGGCACGCCCCCAGACTTGTTCTTGGTGACCCGCGACACTCCCAACATTAGTCAGGAAGTTTGGCAAAACTTTCAGCCAGACCACCTATTCCCAGCAGACACGCAAGTCGCTTTCCCGGTTCAGAGCCATAGCCTTGTGGACCCAGCCCTAAGTCAGCCGCAGAACATGCCCATGCATCAACAATCCCAGCAACAGGGTAGCCAACAATCCATGCAAAATGGGCCATCCGGTATAGGTATGCCCAATACATACGACCCCAACCAACAAACATGGACACAACAGCTCGAGTCCATGTCACAAAACCAGCAACAGCATAACGCACAAGACGACACATGGAGTCAAAGCTCTGGGGGCAGACACAATCCAATTGTTCCGATGAGCTTGAATGTGGATGACTGGTATGGAGCCCCCCTCATCCCCCTTGCCAGAAAGCGGCACATCTCTAGTTGCTAACCAGTCGCTCTAGGTTCAATTTCTTCGGGATTAACGGAGAAGCTGACATGTCTCACTTGTTCCAACAAGGACCATCTTGAATGACATTGGACTCCGACAACATTGATATATCATCATTAGCAGTACGCTCACTACCACGGAAGCCTAGTTCATAACGCTCGATTCTGGACATTACAGTGGGGCGTAATGGCCAGTACCTGAGGCCAGTGTCTGAGACTTTCTCATACATGGACAGTATATAGCAAGCAAGAGGGCAGAAGCGATGATGGTGCGTCTACCTCTCATCTCTTAAAAGCTACGGGATGCTACAGGACAGAAATGTGGCCGAGGGGCGAAGGGGGCAAGAGAACCTATTGATTGGGTCACTAGCAGAGTTTGAAGATCTCAAAACAGTCTTAAATGAAAGATAGTCAAGGCCATCAGCGTTCGTAGTTCTATTGAATAGATGCCACGGCTAGAAAGTACCGACATATGCTGAACGATCACCTGGCAGCCTTGTTTTGGGGACTTAATCATCTGTGATTTACATGTCAAGAAGTGACTTGAGGCTGATGATCAACGTCCCCACGGACTCAGTTTGACGCTAGTCTATTAACAGCGTAGCGGATTTGGACTGCGTATCGCATCGCGAACCTCCATGACGAAAGCACGCGAACAGAGTGTACCACCAGCGCGCTCAATATCACGAATCCTAAGAGCAGACGACCCAAGGCAGATCTCATCATAGGTCAGTACCTGCGCCCGAAAGTTGAGGCCTCTAGCTCCTATTCTGCTCCCGGCATTACACCACTCCATTCTCGATACTGCACCGTTACGATTCACCGACCCACCACTGCCTGAATGCATTTCTTGCTCCTTCCTGGCAGAGCACGATATTTCGCGAGACCGTGAATCGCAGTCAAACAACGACGCTTCCCGACGTTCTTTCCGAAACTACGATCCCAGCGCCTCATTACCCCACGTAGCGCCTTGTACACACTTTCAATTCAGAACTGTGGCTGACAGAACAACTTCCAGAGATTCGAGTGCACCACCAGTACAAAGACGCGACCCAAACATGTTCCAATCGCAACAAAACGCAGGCCGTGGTGCCCCACTCGGAGCGAACAGGCTCCAGAATGGCAAGCTCGGTGTGCCAGTCCAACACGCGACGAATAGGACGCTTTGCTAATGCGTCCTCGTTGTAGGCGGCTCTTCACAATGGGGCTTTGGATCTCCCATGGGCGGTGCGCCAGGACTCCCGAATGCGCAGTCGAGGGCAAATGGAGGCGCCATGTCGAGCTTTGCACAAGCAATGGGTGCCTCTCATACTCCACTAAATCTCGAGTAAGTGCAACATATGCGAAGGGCGGGCGCAAATCAGGCTCGCGAAAGGCGATTGATTTGACGACAGTTTGCTCAATGCTGACCAGTTTAGGGAATTTCCTTCGTTGTCTGGCGCCCCGCAAGCGCAACAAAATACTTCGGCACAGCAAATGTGGTCGAACCCCACGATACGGTCGAATCAGCAACAAACTATACAGCGACCACAGGGACAGGGACAGGGACAGCAACAAGGGCAGATTGGCCAGGGTGCAAATCAGCAGCAGCAGCAACAGCAGAACCAGACCCAGGACGACTCGTCACAGAGCCAGTTCTCAAGCGTCGGCGACGACTATCGCTTTGGCGGTGCTGGCGGGGTCGGACAACTCTCAGGTGGGGCTCAGCCACAGACGGGCAATATAGAAGAGTTCCCGCCTTTAGGCGGTGCTGCGGGAGAAATTGGACCAGACCGTAGAGCGGGGCTGATACAAAATGCTGCAGCTTTTGGGAGCAATCCCAGTACGGGCGCCTTCCCAGGCCTTGGACAGACGCGCAACGGTTTATCGAGTCCAACGGACAGCCAGCAGGACCGCACCATCAACCCCACAGTAGGTGGGCGGGGCTTGCCGGGTGCAGGTAAGCTGTCAAAGGCCGAACTTGAGGAACACTCACTCACCAAGCCAGTGTCGCGAACGCCTTTTGAATATATGCGAGCAAATCCGCAAAATGTACAAGAAGTATGTATCCATGGAGACATCAAACTGAAGGCTAATGAAAATCCAGGGTGGTCAACGAACGGGACAAGCACCCAGCAATTTGTCGTTTTTAGGGCCTCAGGCCAACCGAACTGCTGGCGACCTGGCTCCGGGTGCTCAACGTCCACAGCAAAGCCAATTTGAGCAGACCTTTGGAGGCGAAGGTATCGGCTCACCAAATACGCAACCCCTTCACAAGAAGCTTGCAGACATGACAGACTCGGAAAGATATGGCCTGCCAGGGTTGCTGGCCATGATCCCGCTCGAAAGTCCAGACTACTCATCGCTCGCCATGGGACAAGATCTCACAGTCCTGGGTTTAGAGCTCAGTCGACCCGAGTAAGTCCCAACGTCCGAAATATTCCACCGTGCCCATGATACTAACGTCCCTAACCCCCCAGCCACTCCCCCCTCCATCCAACCTTTGGCTCCCCCTTTGTGGAATCCACCTCCAAGCCCGTGATCCCCCCTTCCTTTACCCTACCCGCCGCCTACACGGTCACCAATGTCCCACCCCTGCACTCGAAAATGTCCTCCTTCTCCGCTGAAACTCTGCTCGCCATCTTCTACCAGTTTCCGCGCGACATCTTGCAGGAGATTGCAGCGGCGGAATTGTACAATCGCGATTGGAGGTGGCATATCAATCTGCGACAGTGGATGATGAAGGATCCTGATCTACCGGCGCCGATTCGGTTGAGTCCGAAGGAGGAGAGGGGATGGTACTTGTTCTTTGACGTTGGGAATTGGAGGAGAGAGAGGGTATGTTTTTTTTTTCATTCTTTATGGGTTCTGAGGTTTTCCTCCCCGTCTATCGCCCCCCTTTACGACATGTTTTCTTTTCGCGTGTTTGTTGTTCTTGCGGGTTCTTCCCGAATCTACACACAACCCAGGACTTATCAGCTAATTTGCACTCCCTTGACAGAGAGAATTCGAACTCAACTACGATCACCTGGACCAGCGCCATGGGAGCCCGGCTATGGCTGGGCAGATGTAAGAGAACTCTTCAGACTTTGTTCTTCCTTTCTTGTCAGTTCTGGTCTCGCGCTTCGGTAACGCCGGTGGGTTGGTGGGGGATTCTGTTGGTACGAGCGGTTGTGGGCTATACGTATCTGTACATAGTGTATGACAGCGTTTTGTGGAACTGTGCTTGTTGGGTTTATGTGAGGATGTTGGGGGGTAGGGGGTGTGTCGTGAGGGTGGTGTGAAGGGTGTGTGTGTTGGGGTGTGGTGTATCCTATATACTGTATCCTGGAGATGCATGGAGCGAAGCAGCATATAGGTTAAGGATAAGAGTACCGCAGCAGTATAAATAACAAGCACACCACGCACATCATAGCCCCACCATCACACAATATACCCACGTCAAATCTCCCCCTTGATCCCTGATCCCCCCTTGTAAATCCACACATATGAACCACACGTCTAATACACAAAACAACGTTGCCTAACATCTCCTTATGTCTTTTTGCTCCCTGCATGTATATCACATATCTCAATGCGAGTATATATCTCGCATAGTAACATTTTAGAAATGTAGTTTAAAAATATAGTTTAGGGATGAGGGAATTGCTAGGTTAGTATTTAGAGTGGTGTTATATTGTAGGGGGAGGAGAGGAGGAGTAGTAGGGGTAGGGTGTTTAGGTTACGTTTAGTGTTGATAGTGATGTTAGTCCTAGTCTCACTCTCACCCTTACCCTTATTATACTTGACTAGCCAGTCTTGACCTTATCTAGCATTGCTCTCTTTACTATAGAGAAATATGTATTAGCCTGTATCTATATATTATTCTTCCCCCTCCCTACATGTACTACCAAGCTCTACCTGTTAGAAGTAGATTGCGTAATTGCGTCATCGTGATTTTCTCCTATATCTTTAATTAATCGGTAGGTTTTGTCTAGTTCTACGACTTGTGGGATAGGGGATAGGGGATATGGGATAGGAGAATTGGGGAGTTTTGTAGGATTTCTTAGGCGGGGGGGAGGGGTGGCGGTGTTGTGCTTTGATTCGGTCTTATGTGTGTGAACCAGTTTAGACTGTTATAAACATTATAGACAATATATACAGAATTCTAGTATTATATGCATTGCTAGTGTAATCTCTCTTGTATAAAATGCTTTCCTATTCAGCATATTATAACACGTAATATATAACATCTCTCTTATGTCGTATACCTCTTCTATTATAACCACGCCCCCTAACTTACTACAATAACATGTCTATCTAGCGACAGGGTTAAATATGGGTAGAGCATGTAGCGTGGGCGGTAAGACTTCAGTCGCTAGGTAGGAAATGGAAACGCGGTGTATTTGGGTTAAGGAACGGGATGTAGGGGGAAGGGGGTGGAAGGATAGATAGGTGAATATGGGGTATAGTGGGTTAATGGTGTGTGTCTAGTGAAATAAACTGTAGAGATTGGCGATGAGAGGAAAAGGGAAGAGTAAAAGAAAGATTCGGTAGTATAGTTTGAAACTCCCATGGACGTGAAGGTGAATCAATACTCGGGCATAAACGAAGCCCACAAACTTGTACACCCTTAGCACAATATATCCGCCATATTCACCCACCACTTCCCCGCCAACCCGGAAAGCTCGCCCCGAAAATCCCTAACCAGGCTTGCCAATTCAAAGCTGCGACACCAAGAAGCGAAATCGCATCCAACGCACCCCAACACATCCATCACCAGTACAAAAATCCACGAGACTTATCTGCCTAAACTATCTGCATTACCTGCGGTTGAAATAAGCCAAGTAGATAGGGTAAAATGGGAGTTATATTGCCAGTACCAGGCGCAGAGAGAAGATGTAAGCGAGGCGAAGTGCGAGGTGTGATAGATACGAAATTTGTATGTGGAGATGCAATACACACTGTCTTGCTAGATATTATGGATTTTGTGTTTTTTTAGAGTTCAAGGTTAGGCTACTGTAAGATGTGCGGGAGATGTGCTGGGGAGACTGAATGTATGGTACACTGATACGAGATACGAAGGGGTTTGTGGGCATGAGGATTGGGATTAGGATGGATGGTGGGAATATATAGAGGGCTTGTGTGTTTACGATGGTTTCTGCTACGAGGAAATGTCGTGATATTTGAGGCTACTGTAGAGGGCACAGGGTGCTTTATGGGGACGAGTTTGTGAGATTTACAATGGCGGGTGAATATGTAGTAGAGAGAAAGTGCATGCAGAGTGATTCATCGAGAATGTCGAAATCCAACAAAAGGGCGAGGACAGAGTGCGAAATTACTGCCAAGGGGGTGAGTTGGGAAACCGGGGGAACAAGAGGACGACATGTTGACGTCCTGCCAAGAAAAACAAGATTAAGATTTCCTCCTCGAAAAGAAAAAAAAACAATGAAAATAAAAAAACTTTGAAACGTGGACAAGAGAATCGTCTTCGCTCCCCGAAAAGGAAAAACAAAGAGGGAAAAAAGGAAACAAAGTCACAGAATCGAGGGCAACTCGAAAACCCTGAAACAAGCAACAAGTCCAACACCCCCAATCGCAGCTCTCGCCACTCATGCCCTCGCGCCTCGCGCCTCACACCTAAATGCATCAAAGGCAGTAGCAGCAGCAGCAGCAACAGCAGCAATAGCAACAGCAACAAAGCCAGTTGGACGATCGGTGTCTCAATCCTACTGCAACTCACAGCTCGAGCATTCCCCCTCATCGGTCAGTATCCCGTCCTCAGGGACCCGGCTCTGAATCACGGCCGTCGTATAACACCAACAACACGCGCCCTGCATGCTGTCGTGAGCCGTGCACCATGATAAACCGCTCACGGCAGATCAGGCCAACATGTGTACAACAACACATGCGGTAATGACTAGACTAGTCTGTGCGGGCAGCGCGTCCCCCTTCCCCCCACCTCTTGTTCTAAAACAAATACTGAAAAATCGTCTGATCATGGCAATAAGATGGATTTAGATAGGCACGAGCGGAATAAAGGGGGAGAAGGAGAGAGAGAGAGAGGGTGGAACCTTCCATGCTACGTGGGATCAGGTTTTGTTGTCTTTGGAGG